ATTTATTGTAGTTAACAAAAATGTTTCACCTTTGGTTTTCCTCAACTATAGTTTTAGTTAACTATAGTGACCTTTAACCTTTTCTCCAACTTCCCCCAACAATCCCAAAAAGCACCCACAATACTTAATTCAGTTTCCCAATGGCAGTTTGACATTCTGTTTGTCTTCTGTTTGACTGACTGATTACTGAATAATCTTTCTCACTGACTGCTGGAGATGCTCACCAACACCCAGTAGTGATCAAGCTTGGGTTGATGCAGCTGTAGAAAATGAGAGAGGGGTTACGTCTTCACCTTCTCACCTCAAAACCTGTCTTAGTCCTCTTTGTGTTTCAGTCTTCCTGTTAATAACAGAGAGCTATTAACCTTATTGCAGATCTGATTTAATCAGTTCCTAAAAGCTTGTAAATAGACCACTAAATTATCTTTAATGTCAACTTCCTGGATGCCACCAGGAGACGATGTAGAAGGTTCCCTTTCATGATCATGAGTGATTTTTTTCCTTTTTATTCATATTATTTTTTAAAGACACCGCTGTTTGAAGATTACATATTGAATTTTGCAATATCTTAATGGAATAGTGTTAATAAATGATATGACCCAGGGCTCATTAGAGTTTGTATAACTCTCATATTTTAATCATGAAGTTAGTTCCGTATTATATTCTGTTCTGGAAAAAAAAACATATATATATATATATATAAATGTAGATGAATGAATAAATAATAAATATTGGAGATGTTTAAAGTTTGGCTCCAAGAAATGAATATGGAGGACTAAATATGTTTTAGGGCTAAAAAACTGATATATGGAGGATGTATCATTGAGGCAAAAATCAGATTTTTGCTTCAATGTTGCAACATTGGTATTTTCTTTCTTTCTTTCTTTCTTTCACTAAAAGGGGTTTGTGCTGGTCAGCACTGACTTTTTTTTACCCGAAGAGCAAAAGGCATCCAATTTCAAAAGATAAACCTGGAAAGTCTTTCAAAAAGTTCAAAAAAAAATCCTTGAAAACATAAACGAGGTGTTGCTCAACTTGTTTGCACAGCACTGCAAAAGAAATCTTCCATTAAGCTGCTTTTATTGCCACAGTAACCTTAAAGCAAGGAACTGGTCACCCATCTTTTCTACCCTAATCCTACTCACTTTAAGGCCTCGAGATGTGGGTTGTTAAATCCTGGGCTGCCACACTTCTTTTTTTAAACTATCCAGGTCAGCGATGCAGCAACAACAGCAGGGCAACCCAAGTGGCCCAGATGTTGCTTCAAACCCGTAGCTCTACTGAAAGTAAGAAATGGCCCCGATATATTATTTTTCTTTTTTCCCACAGCAGTTGCAGGGAACAGTTTTATTCGAGTCCCCCGCTCATACTCCGGTGCCTGGTTCCAAACGGTTCATCACGCGGTTCTGATTCACCTTCCCTGGCGAAGCATTTCAAGGTCTCGACGAAGTCCTTGTCTTTTAAAACACCACAGGCGCCTCACGCTGCGTCTAAATGGTGTGATCTTTACACAGGCGGGAGATGTGAGGACGGATAAGCTGACGTATTCCACATGCATCGGTTTGCAGGGGAAGACAGGTTTTCCACACACACAAAAAAACTCTTTGGAATGACAATGGGCTGGTTTAAAAAGCGTGCTTTAAGTAGCATTTAAATTCAATTCCATCCTTCCAGATTTACTCGACTCTTTCAAAGAGCTAATCCGGCCTCAGATTGGTGCGTGGCGAGTAGTTCCGTATAGGAGCCATCATGCCTGAAGCGACAGATCTTAGTCTCCTTGGGCAAGGTGAGGGCAGATGGGTGAGCGCGGGAAAGCACAAGATAGGCAGAGGAACTGGTTAGTGACGGCATGAGAGCAGCGGCATGTCACGGTACCACATTGGCTTACTGATGAAGCAAGCAGAGCAGCTTGCATACACTCAATACATTTTTAAAGGGGCAGTACTATGTCCAATCAACTTTTTTTTTAGTTTTCCATCATGTCATGATGTTGTTCCCTCATCAAAAACATACCCGGAGTGTTGCCTTGATTCTTTCATGCATGTTTGAATGTGCAGACATTTGGCGATGGTGAGCTCCACTTTGGAAGACGAAGCTCCTCCTCGGAGCTGCAGTTTGCGAGCTTTCTCTCTCGCAGAGCGCAGCACCCCCGCAACGCCTCCACTAAGCTCCTACAAACTAGCAGGAAGAAATTAGCAAACTCCTGGTGGAACTGCACATCTGCTGAGCTCATCATTTGAGCCAAGACTCAGTGAAACGCTTGTGAAATATTGTTAAAGGGTTAATACAGGAGCGATGTGGTTACTTCCTGAAGGCGGAGTTTCAGAAGGTGCAGGCGTTTCTTAAAGAGACAGGGGCCCAATATCAAGGTTTGAAGGCATTTCTTAGTAAGTTTTGAAAGAGTCCACTGAAGATTCAAGCATTTTAGTGAGATCTCATCAATCTGGAAGACATAGAAAATGAGCAGCAGATTAGCTTGCATAGATTGTAGGTAAACCCACAAACAATGTCCCATGTGAAGAAATATGTTTGTTTTGTTCCACTATTCAGCAGTTATTGTATGTGTTTAGCCTAAATCCTGCCTCGTACCTTCATGAGTTCTTGGGGATTTTTCCAGTAGTGTCCTCCACCGCTGAAAAAAAAAAAAAAACATTTCTATCTTCCACTTGCTATGCTAGCTCATGGAGTTAAACTTTCTTTAACTTATATTTTAGAATATTGACTCAAAGACGAATCATATCGTATCAAGAAATGATTTAAAAATTTGATGGATTCACTGTAGTTCTTTTCCTCATCTTCCCCCCAACTTTCTGTTCCCGTGCAGGGCCCCTTGGCGGCTGCGGCCCCCACTTTGAAAAACAATAGACTAGAGTTGTCTATCCCTGCTCTACAGTGCAGGAAAGATGACTAGTCTGACGTGTGCTCCAAATGAAAACCAGGATCCATTTCAATTAGCCACACCTAGAATTAGCCACAAACGGTGAAATATGGCAAAACAGCAACGATGCAGGGACAACTGAAGCACTTTCAGCCCATAAAACCACATGGGTACCATCACTCTCTTATCTGAGGTAAAATTTTAGCCCATAAACAATTTGTATCATATTTATCATCAGATAATGCCTTTAGAAAAAAAAAAAAAAACACCTGCATAATTTAAGAAGATCTTAAACGAATGATGCCTCTGAATGTGAGGACTTCATTTGATTTACTTTTACATAAGTGAAAATCTGCAGCTGTAGCCAACAGGTCATGCTGAAAAAGCAGAACACACAAAAATATTTCAGACATCGCACTTCTTAAAATTTTCAGATCCTCCTGCAATGCTCTCAGATTCTGACCCTTCACGTTCTGCTCCACTCATCTCTCTCCATTACTGCGGAGCATTGAGACACTTTCCATGCAAACACTTGGGTTTGAGCCGGTGCCAAAACAATGAGACTCCACACATCTCCAGATTTAGCTCTTTGTTTGTTCAGCTGCTGTTTGGACTTGATCTGTTGGTAATAGTGTAACGTTGAGTTTTTACTTTGCAAAGCAGCTGAGGTCTTGTTGGAAAAACGGTCATTTTGATTTATTAAAATCCTTTTCTTGGTGCCCTAAAGTATTCATGACACTTGTTTTAATTTTGTCTCTGCACACAATTCTGTCTCATGACAACCTTTAAAATTAATATCTTTTGTTGCTTGGTTTTTATTGCTTTTTCTAAATAAGAATCTGAAAACGGTATCAAAGCCCCCCTTTAGCCAAATACTTTGTGCAACTATTATTCACTGAAGCTACAAAATAAGCCTTTTGGAGTTTGTGCATGTCTTTCAGCAATTGGACTGAACGAAAAAGTGGATTTTATTTTATTTTTTTTCTCGAGAAAAAAAAATTGTTGGAGTTTCCCCATCAACTCTAACCAACTTTCCCACATCCGGATCCTGCCCGTCATGTTGTGATAACCTTTGCAGTTGTTCTCAACTCTTTCGTAGAACTCTTCTAGACTTTATTTTTTGCTGTCATGTATAAAATTTGAGACCACGGCAACAGAGCGGTTTTGGGTTTATGCTGACATTACATGACGTACACTGCGAAAATGTCATTTTTTAGGACATTAGCGTAATATCCTGAAAAATGACATGCATGCCACACTTTTCAGATTGTACCTTGAAAACAGATGCTTGAGTGACTGGTACTCGTGGCTCACACATGTTTCAAGTTCTGCTTTCTCGTTGAGCAGCAATACTTGCAGGGTAAAGAAGGCATAATGGCAGAGAACATTCTGGGTCATTAGCTTTACCGGCTCCACCTGGGATCCCATCCTCGAGTCACCTGCAAAGCAAGACGAACCTGAAAGCCACTGTAAAAAAAAAAAATGGTGATCATTATTACCCATTGGCAGAAAGGTAACTCTGATTTGTCCATACTTTTACACTCATGCATCTCCACACAAGGCTAAACACAAGCTTCCCAGGTGCTGTGGCGATGCGTAGAGTCTGAACGTCGTTGTCTCTCCTCTCCTCTCCTCTCCTCTCCTCTCCTCTCCGACGAGCTTTCAGCACCACGGACAGCAGCAACAAATCAGAGCCGCCGTGGCGCGAGGCATTCCTCCCGCGTGGAAGCCGCAGCGCGAGGAACCGTTTCCTCATTTCCTCGATTCCTCACTTCCTGCCGAGTCCGTCCGAACGGCTCTCGGTAGAAGTCAAACCTCGAGCATTTTGCCACTCCTTACGAACTCGGCACATGCTCACGAGGCCAAAGGTCCGTGTTCGTGTCTGTTTTTGTTTTAAAATCCCGTTTAATTTTTTTCTTTTGTCTTTTTTGTTTGTTTTTTGTTTTGTTTGCTAATTTGCCTTGAGGGCTAACTTCCTGTGTTATCCCTACAACTGGAGTGATTTCCCCCTCCCACCCCTCCACCACCAGCCTCTCTCTCTCTCTCTCTCTCTCTCTCTCTCTCTCTCTCTCTCTCTCTCTCTCTCTCTCTCTCTCTCTCCGTCGTGCTGAGTGATGTGGTAGAAGGCGGGTCAGTGTGGAGAAATCCTGGGGCCCGTCGGCAGAACAGCGCCGAGCCGAGCCGAACCGAGCCGAGCGGAGCGACGCGCGTCCACTGATCCGGAGGAGAGGAGAGAGGAGACAGGAGGACCGCTGCCCGTGCTTGTATTTCCTCCCCCCTCACTTCCACTGTTCCACTCAATCAAAGAGCATCTGCGGCTTTTTTTTTCTTTCTTTCTTTCACTGGGAAAGAGGAAAATATATATAGGCTATATATATGCGAATGGAATTCTGCTCTGGAATAATCTGATTTTATTTATTCTTTTTTTAAAAAAATTTGGTTTGTTTTACACTCCGGAGTCGAAAGCGGTAAGAAAATATTCTTATTTCTTCTTCTTCTTTTCTCATCTAATTTATTTATTTGAATGGACACTTGTCGTATTTCTTCCAACTAAAATGAAACGTCAGCGAATATGTATTATTATCATTATTTATTTTTTTGTTTGTTTCCCCCCTCACGCGTATTTTGGGGCTGATTTGGGCGCAATAAGAGAAAGCTTCGGGTCACAGTTTTGACGTCTCCAAACTGCGGCTTGATTTGACTAGAAATCCTCCGAACGCCGTCACGGCGAAAGCGAAGCAAAGCGGCCGAGGCGGAAAGTTTCGGCTGAGCGATGGGTCGGGTCTGACGCGAAGACACCGACGACCGACTGGAGTTGATTTTGCAAATGGGTTCTGGCAGCGACGGTCTCCTTGCGGGAATTACGCATCTGGGTTCGCGGAGCTGAACTGTGCATCCCGCAGTCTGCGGAGCGGCGGTCAGGCTGCCACCGTGCGAGGAACCGAGGGAGAGCTGGTGGGAGAAAAAAAAAAACATCGTGATCGGGACATGGCTTCTGGGTTTTTTGTCTTATTAAGTTATTTTTTTTCTCCTTTGGTGCGTTTGAAATTTAAACGATGCATCCTTTATCGGACAGCTGGAAAGCTGTATTTCACTTTATTCCGGTGTTGGATGATCCACCTAATTTGGTTCTGAGCTTCCTGTAGATCACAGGTTTCAAACTCCAGTCCTTGCGGTGGGGTGGAGGGGGCCTCCCCTGCACGGCCCTGCAACTTTTCGATGCGCCTCTTTCTGCACCAAAAGAGGTGCATTTTTCTGTCAATAGAATGATTAGGTAATTAAGGCTCTGGAGAACTGATCTATACTAGGAGGAGGTAACTAAGTCATTTCATTCCAGGGTTTTGTACCTGTGGCACATCTAAAAACTGTGGCCCTTGAGGCTCTTGAAGTTCACTTCATTTGGAAGGTTTCTCCAAGATGCTAACTTTAGCTTAGCCATTGGCTAGTCATGGTACTCTCAAAGTTCTTGCAAATTGTTTAGTTTTCTGTGTTGAAATAAACAAAAATAATGTTCTTTTAACTATGCTTTTTTCAGTGTTTTTTTTTTCAAATTGAAAAAAAGGAAAACCCCAGATAAAGTGAACAAAACAAAGACATAAATGGGTAAAGTGGGACTGTAAAAAACTAATCCCCAAATAAAACATCTCCCTTCTGTCTTATTTGTGCCACATTTATTTGATTAAGCAGGTCCAACACATGTGGACGTGACCCGTCAGGCCCATTAGCTTATAGCATAGACTGGTGCCTTGCTTTGACTGACCAGTGGACCCACCGGGTTCGGACCCGCTCCTAACGACGCACACTCGTGTCTGCTGTGACTGATGTCGGATTAAATCGTCGCTCCAGGCTGACGTGTGTGATAGACGGGAAGTTCAGCGAGAAACAGAGGGAGGAAGTAGGAGCAGGCAGTGGGGGTGGTCTCCTTTGCGTCGGGGGAGACTCGACTGCATTACAAAACATGTCAATAAATCTGCTGCAGTTCCAATGCATCATTTATTGCCAGTGTGTGACAGTACCCATGCAGGTCATCTCATATCCTTGTGCTATTTAATAATTCAATGTGTATATCTAGGAAAATATGTTCTTGTGCCAGCAGAGTTGTGACAAACCGGGCCTCCCCATCGCTGAGAATTGAGCATGACAAAAAAGGACAGCAATGCCAGTGGATTGAGAAATGGAGCAAGGAGGATGATGGAGAAGGGGATAAAAATCATGTTTTTGTCTCGTTGGGAATGCATTTCTCTTCCTAAATGACATCAAACTAAATTTCTCCCAGCAGCTAATTTCTGCCCTCTGCAGTGACGAGGTTAGCCAAAGGGCATCTTTCACAAAAACCCTGGAAGAGTGTCAGTAAAATATGTCGTATTCAATTGGTGTTTAAGCCACATCAAGGCTTGTTTGTCTTAGCCTACAGGTTTGCCAACAGGCTTGCACCTTTTTTAAATTTATTTAGTTAAATTAAAAATCCATTTGCAAAAATGTCATAGGTGCATACACTATATGGCTAGCTTTAAAAGGAAAAAAAAAGTTCATATCCTTGAACTTCTCCACATATATATATTTTTTTGATATCATGACCACAAAGACGCAATGCATTTAATTTGGACCAATGAAAAGTGAACTATTGTTAGGAAGTGGAAGGAAATGTTAAACATTTTCAGTCGTGCCTTCATCTCGCTTACTATGCACAACTGGGCTTTCAAATGTAGAATACAAATATGAAAGTTTGTTTATGTAATGTGACAAAATCTGAAACATTTTAGGGAGTGCAAATCAGGTATACACAAACAAATCTTCAGCGCTTCAGTTAAAAGAAGACAGATACCATACAACGGCAATGTAGGTGTTCTCTGTAAATTGATGGGATATCTCATGACCCAGACCGGTATTACACACATTGAGTCATGTTGATTGAGCAGAGGCTTGGCTTGTTAGTATACCAAACTGCCTTCTCAGATATCATACAACTTCACCTATTCAAGAGATCCAGCACCTAACCTTCCCATCCCATGTCCACATACTGCATCCATGCCTTGTCCTCATAGTGGGCCGGACTAACACGGCAGTGCTGGGGATTATTTTTCCAAGCAGAACCTTTTAACCTCTCATCGAGTCTCTTTTTAAGACAAAGACAATCATCCATTTAGTCAGCCCAGCGTCGTCAGAAACAGAGCTGCACTAAGACACACATGCGAGCACGCATGCGGTGCATTAACATAGGTATCGGTTACCTGAATTCAATAGCTCGCCTGCTGCAGCAAGATTAACTATTCAGGGCAGGTGGTTAAAGGGCCTATTGTGTTTCCTGGTTCTGTGCTGCTGTCATGATTGCACAATGCATTTGTCTGGTTGGCAGCCCACTGCCAAAACAATTGCAAGGGCAAAGGGCTGGAAGAGTACACACACATATAAGGTTTCACCTTGTACATCATTTGTAGCTCTGCTGAGCAAAATTAAACAGAAGTGTATAAGTGGAGCTGCAGCAAGCGAAGATTGTGTCCTAGTTGATATGCTTTGACAGTCTTCCTCGGTGATGGAAATGATTTAGATATCTATTTACCAAGAGAACAAGTGGGATTCAAACATGAAATGTCCCCCCACCTACCTCGATCCATCCTTACATCTTTCTGGATTTGTGTTTGTGGCTGTAATCCCTCAAAGGCATGCAAATGGGAGAAATCGAGAGAGAAAGACTGGAGGTGGATAATTAGTCATACTAATCAGAATCTCAGCAGCCCCTTGCAGATAGCAGCCTAACATTTGAAGGTGAACGTGTGTTCGGCTTCAGCTCAGCGGCTTTCCAGTGGTCAGGAAGTCAACGGCGGCGGTCTCCGAGATTATTTTTTTTGCTTGCATCACTCATGGATAAGTTAATCGAGAAATCAGATCTCGGATCAAGTTGAAACCGCCGAGATGATCTTCAGTTGAAGAGAGCAATTGGAAGACGTGGCACCTTGCAAAGACGGCTCATGAGATCTTTATGGGAGTTATTAGTGGGTGTTTAGTTGCTTGTAGGCATAAAACGTCAGATTTGCATTGGATGGATGGATGCAGTATCTTGTCTGTCTAGCCCAAAGGGATGATTTATGCTTGCATTCCACTAAATGCGACTTTTATCATGACTACATACTTTAGAGCTGAATCAAAACTCCCAGTATGCATTACAAACGATCTGTGTGTTGCATAAATCAGATATCCATCCATGTGGGAATAGTCTGTTGCAAGATGATAGAGTATGATAGAGTTCTGTTCAAAGAAATGTATTCATACGCTATTTTCTTTCCCCCCACCAGGTCTGTCCAAGTTGTTTTTAAAGCTGAGTACCAAATCATGGGGATTGAAACTGGGCCAACGCTGATTGTTCCATGCTTCAAAGCAGGAAGTCAGTTCAAAGGCCTAACTCTAAATCATCAGACACAGCTCTGAATCACCGACGTCATCATCGCACGTTCACCCTTTTTTTTATACATATATCCCACCTTAGACTTGGCTGGACAAGATCAAGAGTCAATCTATTATCAACATTAGATCTTAAAGCAAAGAATCTTTAAGTGACCTATGTGGAATATAAGAGTCAGCAGGTAAACGCTGGAGCTAAACTGTAGCCAAATGGTTCCATCACTTTGAGGATTTATCCCCAAATTCCAACTCTTCTTTTTGACACCCTTTGGTTTTTGTACAATGAATCCCTACGGCCTTCGTGGGCATTTTTGTCTACTGCTAAGTACCCTGCTAAGCCTGAGCGCAGGCTTGGAGTTTACCGGTTCTCAAGGCCAGTGGGCTCGCTACGTGCGCTGGGATGCAAGCTCCAGGGGCGACCTGACGTTTCAGTTCAAGACCTCGCAATCGGACGGCCTGCTGCTCTACTTCGACGACGGCGGATACTGTGACTTCTTGCTGCTCGCCCTGTCCGAGGGCAAGCTCCAGCTCCACGTCAGCATCGACTGCGCCGAGACCACCATCACCTCGGACAAGCCGGTCAACGACAGCCGCTGGCACTTCGCTGCCATCAACAGGGAGAACCTGTGGACTGGCTTGGCCGTGGACGGTCAGAGCAAGACGGGCGAGGTGCGTCCCCAGCGGCAGTTCATGAAGATCGTCAGCGACCTCTTTCTCGGGGGGCTTCCGAGGGATATCCGCATGGCCGCCATCACCCTGCCCTCGGTCCGCGAGCTTCCGCCGTTCAAAGGGATTATCACCAACCTCAGTTACGGGAGTAAGTTGCCCACGTTGGTCAATAGCCAGAAGGTCCGTCTGGAGATGATGGGCCTCTGCACAGAGAACCCCTGCGAGAACGGCGGGATCTGCTCACTGGCAGATGGAGAAGTCTACTGCGACTGCTCCAAAACTGGATATGTAGGTCGATACTGCACGGAAGGTAAGAGGGCTGGCTTCGTTGTTTTCTGTGTCGAGCAATAAATATTGATTAAGGCCTTTGTGAAAAATTCAAAAGGGGTTTCTTTCAAATATAGAACTGACCTAATACAAGGTTTGTGTTTTTATTCCAGAGTCTAAGAGAGAGAGAAGAAATCTCATTATTCATTTTTTGTTTGTTTTTGCATATATTCTTAACCATCTCCCATCATGTGGCTTAGACCTCAAAGTATTTTTGCTACATCATAAATCTCAATAGAAGCTTCTGGAATTAGATGTAATCTGCATAACTGCATCGCCTTTCACCTAATGTGATCTGTGCCACAACCACTCTTCATTTATAAAGTGCCTTGGAAAAAAAAAAAAAAAAATCTGCATTGTTTGCAGCGATGCCTTCCCAAATCAGCATAATTTCTATCAAGCCAGGGCAGCTCTGCGTTTGAAATATTTAATGCAGATCTTGCAGGACTTGGGAGTCTGAATATTTCTTTGTGGGCTGTTGCACATACAGCACAGCAACTCTCAGTATTTCACGTGGGAGTTAAATTGGAGGTGATGGGCTCAGCATTTCCTCTCCCTTCACAGTTATTACATTTGATGAGGCAGCTGTGGATACGCTATTAGCTGATGTGACTAAAATTACCACTCTAAGTTCTTTCTCCTGTTTATTTTTTCCTCCCCCTTCATTAAATGTGTTCAGATTTGGCAAGGTGATGCGGAGGCCTCCAGGTATATACAAAGTGTGGACAAGAAACAACATCACCTATTTTTGCTCTGCTTCTGGGCCAAGGCCATCTCTTCTTTTGGGAGTGTAATGAGATGCACCTCTTTGACAGTATTTGATGATTTAGACATTAAAGCCTTCCTTCTTTCTTGCACATTATCTCAAATCGCCCAGTGACAGTAAAACACACATAAAACTGCTTTCTCTTGTTTTATGACACCACTACTTCTGCGTAAAGGTTACTTCATGTTACCTTAATCTTTCTGAACGCTCCACTGCTGAAACTTTGAGAGGATAACCATCTGATTCAAGGAATAAGTTCCTCCATTTTTTTTTTAAAGTCATACCATTTGCATTTTCATACATGCGGAGCATTTCAAAAATGTATTTAAACCCCTTGATCTTGTTCATGTTGTGCGTATTTCTACAAACATTAGTGTACGTCACCAGGATTTTATGTGACAAATCAGCATGTAAATGTGTTGCCTGCATTTACAGGCAACACATTTAGTCCCCTTTACTTTGATACCCCGCAGTCACATCGAAGTGAAACTGGTAACAATACAGTAGTGTAATCTCAGCATAGTTTCAACTGTTTTGTGGAGACCTTAAAGGTTTGCTAGAGAACACTGGAGAATAAATAGCACCATGAAGACCAGGTCCAAAGGTGAATTGTGAAGAAGTTTGCAGAAATGTTACTGTATAAAAAGTATCTGAAATGCTGAATATCTCTTAGTGTATCAGTCAATCTTTGGATTAAACCCAGACATACATCATAACCTTTTAGTGGTCATTAAGGAAGAATAAAAATAATAAAAAAAGAAAGTCATTTTTGAAACAAAGTTATAAGAAATGTCATTTTTCTTGGTTCAGTGAGACCAAAAGTAATTTTTTGTTTTGCCTCAGAATTTGAGGGGCAAAAATAAATGTCACGGCACATCACCCAACAGTGAAATATGGCGGCAGCTGCATCTGTAGTTGAAAATATTCTAGAAACTACCAATGAGTCGAGACTGGAGTTTCACCTGCCAGCAGCGCAACACCTCAAAAAAATATACGCACAGATACAATGGAAGGGCTTAGATGAAGGTCCATCACATAAAACTCCTATAAAACTGAACATTAAAGTTTGTATGATTTGGCTAAAACATGAACAAGGTTAAGGGTTGTTTGCAAATCTCCTTTAGAGATCTACATCAATCAATCAAATTTTATTTGTATAGCACATTTCAGCTACAAGACATTTCAAAGTGCTTTACATCATAAACACAAAACACAAAGGCATGCAACATAGAATAAAATACCAAGTGTTTTTTTTTCTTTTTTCTTTCTTCCTAAAACAATTTCATAAAACCAATTCACTCTAACCTTGCACCTTTCTTTACTTTTAAGGATTGTAGATTGTGTGAACAGACCCATTTTGACAACCCTCCACTGTTGACCCACTTCCTGTGTGTCTGAATCAGACTGACATGGGTCAGAGATGACTCCACTTTGCCAAAAAAAAAAAAAAAAATCAGAGGAATGCTCACTGAACACTTGCGCTATTTCGAACTGTATCCAATATGGGGAAGACGTTGAAATTTGCTATTTCTCTCAATGGTTTCTGTTATGTTTGGCTTCCTAATATGTTCCAATGTTTGGTGCTAAAAATGAAGCTGTTCTGAGCTTAAATCTCCAGCACACGCCTGTGGCATTGTTCAGGACAGCACACGATGTGCTGGTTGCGGAGCAGCCAAGCGAACTGAGTGGACTTGACCTCTTTTTCGCTTCATCCCATTTGCTCACTGTCGGAGCTGAAGAGTCAACAGAGAAGTAGCTAGGTGGTCCATTTGTCTGAGAGCTGATGGGGGGAACCGTGACATCTTTGTGTAAAAACAACACAGGTTTTTAAGAGGGCACTTTACGACTCAGGCCAAATAATAGCTTACAAGAACGGGAGGAGGGGAGAAAAGGCTGTCATTTCGCTGCCTGAGGGCAGAGGAAGTGTGACGAGTAAATTCAGCGACAGTGCCTTGTAACCTAATTTGTCCCAGGAGGTCAGCCGTTGGGCTCCGGTTTGCCTCCTTCTCCGTCAACTGTTTTGAAATCTCCTTCCATTTTGCTGCGGCTTCAATGGAAAAACGATTGAGAGGCAGGATGGGGGGACAAGTGTGCACACGCTTCATCCAACTGCTGCTCTTCCCTACTTCGCCATTAACTGATGTGGCTGATTGTTGATTATGCCGCGGAGACGCAGAACTATAATTAGAGAGATAATGAGAACAGAGACGGCCAATTTGCCTGGAAAATGACTGCGCAAACACCACCATCGATTTCGGGCTGTCTGTTGGCAAATAAGCTGCAGTTCTTTTATTATCATGGCCACATGTCTTCGAGTGGCAAAGCACTTGTTGTTCGAGCAATGCTCGACTGAATGGAGCGATTTTGGAGGGCAATTTAGCAGCGACTGCGTTCCAACCATTTGGTCGCAGCAACATACGACCGACCGCTTAGCACACCTGTCTACATCGGTAGACTGCAGACTGAATAACGAGCAACGCGTGCAATCTGTCAAACCTGTGAATATTTACGTGTTGCATTATTATGCAGTGTGGTCCTGCACTCAAACGCGTTGCATTCAGTGGCGTACGTGCGATTACATGCATCAACGCGGACGAGGCCCTCTAGCCACTCGTTAAAGCGGGCAGATGGTTGACCGACTGACTGAGCAGACTGGGCCTTGAAAGCATTTCGCCAGCCGCACTCCTAATAGTAGCCCACTGGCCTGGCGGAGGAACGTGAGGGAGGAGTGAGCTGAATTACCATCTGAGATGAAACATGACAAAATTGGAGGATTAAAAAAAGGGAAGCGGGGTGAAACCTGTTGGTGCTGCTCGGCTCGAGAAACGGATCGGCTCACTTTATGGTCATTAAAAATGATCCTGTGAAGAAAGATGAGATATTTTATCCAAACTAGTCGACGTGGTCACAGAACATCTTTTTTTTTTTAGTGTTTCCTCCGGTTGGGTCAGGATGTCTCTTTTTAAATTGTTATTGTCCGTCATTGATGTGCGATGTTTGAGAGACAAATTCACCATTTCTTCACTGTTTTAACTTCAGTGCTTTTCAAATGCACTTTTTACATTCTGTCATGCTGTGCCCTTAAAACGGTTACCGGAGTCACCAAAGGATGAGTTTTTCAGCTAGCCAGTTGCCACCCCAACTGAGAGCCTTCTCTTCATATGGCAGATCCTTCTAAATATGGCAGTCTTTTAAAAATCAGAATAAAATACGTGGGAATTTGAGTTCTCCCATGACAAAAAGTGAAGGTTAAGGGGTATCATTTTGCACAGTAAAGTTTTTTTCTTTGTTTTTAAAACTTATCTTTTTCCAAATCCAATGCTTTGTAGATAAACTAGCCACCTGGTAGTTCAGCCTGATTTTGGGTGGTTCATTTTTGTTCACAGCATTTTGACAGCTCTGAATACCTTTGAGGTACAAAAAGGGCTGCATAAGGTCAAAGCTGGTAAGAGCTACACTGGCCCGCATAACACAGACGTAAAATGATCACCTTTTTCATATTTCTCAGAAATCCGCACCTTGCATTTACAATGAAGCACTTAGGGCTGCATATGTTTAAAACAAACAAACAAAAAAAGACACTGTGCAGTGACTTGACAGAAGGGTCTATAATTGAAGACCAAAAAAAAAAAACGCTAAACTGTTAAGTAAGTGCTGAACTAGTGCCTTTGGGCTTAGCTATGGGGATTAATAAACAGACATGGAAAAAATGACAGTTGCAATAATCTTACTATAAAAGTAGGTCAGGGCGGGAAAAAAAAAAAAATGCCGCAGGGACTTGCCTGATTCCAGTGCAGAGGGCATTTGTGTGTAGCGCCCGAGCTGAAAATTATGTTTGGATTTGAGTAGCGAAGCTGCTGGTAAAATAGAGCAGGGGATTACGCCTGGACCACATGTCCTCCGCAGCACATTGGCTTGTTCTCAGTGCTGCCGCATCAAGAGCGAGGGTTTAATCTACATAGAAAAGTTGGCAATTTAACAAGCGAGCAGTATGTGCATATTTATAGGTGAACGCATCCGCCATGTCAGAAGAAACCTGCTGAGTCAGGCACGTCATTTCGGCGCTTCAAAGCTGGTAGCTTAAGTTTGAACAGCGCTGCTGTCCATCAGCTGGACACTCCCCTGCTCCTCACATCACCCTCTCTCTCAAGCTTGGTCCTTTTTTTTTTATCCCCCTTTCTCAATGTCATCCATCTTGTATTGGATGCATTTTAGCTGTGAACTTTCTCTAATCTAGAGACAAAACTATACGTAATTGCTCAAATATCTACGTGTATCCCAACTAACATTCCGATTAATGTGTCGTGGCAAGCCACAGAGAACCTGGCAAGAACTCTGACTGATTTGTTGGCCAGTTCAGAATTTCTAAGGATTATCTGAACTGATTGGTTTCTTGGCAACGACCCGAAATTTAGACATAGTCAGTAAATTTTCAGTAACTTTGAAGGCAGTACCATGCCATAAGATTAATGTCATCCTTCTGTTTTCATTCATTAAATTGGGTTAATTGATGCCCAACTGTGTTCATGTTTCAACAACCCTACACCAGAAGATCCTGGAAAACCAGTCGTTTCTCACAGTGACGCAAAATTTAGATCTTCAGTTGACTGAAAAGGGCGGTGAAGGAGAAATGAATGCACACCTTCCCAGAGTTGCTGTTTTGATGTGAACAGGTCTTCTGCTTGAGGAAACGCCAAAGGGTCTCCATAGGGTCAAAGGTTAGAGGAGAATGGTGACCAGACCGTGAGCTTCTCCCCTTTATGCCCATAGTAGCCAATGACACAGTTGTATCCTTGCAGCATGAGATGCTGCTTTGTGATGCATGAAGATGAATTTGCTACTGTAGGTACGGCTCTTCTTTTTGAACCATGAAAGAAAGTGGTCTGTCAGAAAGTCCATGTACTTTGCTGAGGTCATTTTCACACCTTTGGGGATTTTGAAGGGGGCCGATCAGCTCTCTCTCTCCCCATGATTTTGGCCCAAGTCGATGGAGAGGCACCAGCAGCTTCAAATAATGCTGCTTTGTAAGGGCATTTTAACAGCTGCTCTCTTAATCCAATGAATTTATCTAACAGAAAGCTTCCTCATTATGCCTTTATCTGTAAAAACCCAACTTTGTTCTGAATCAGCCACAAATCTCTTAACAGTACGATGATAAAGCTTCAGTGTTCATTAAATATCTAATGTTTTCATACCTTGTCATACGGCTCTACACTATCTGATGTTTTTCGTCAGCACAGATCCTTTCTCTTTCCCATATTGCTTGAAAACTGTGGCCCTAACAATTTGGAGATTTTTTAATAGCTTTCCTTTAATTGAGCTCAGCAGACAAACTGATCAATCCAGCTCTCTGAAATTAATTATAGTGATTCAAAGAGCCCTGACACACAATACCATCTATAAATTTAATAGCACAACAAAAACTTTAATCTTTATGACACTTAAATCCAATTTACATAATAATTTGGAACACAGTGTAGATTCTGCCAGAGGGTAAAGGTGAACTGCATAAAGCAGATGGGTTATTAAGAAAGACTGCCATATTTGTGGGATAACTCACAGTTTTTTTCATCGTTTGACTTTGCCCGTGCCTTGTGTATGTTATTTTTCCTCTTCATTAAGCATTTTCTGACTGATGTGGTATAGGTTAATTTGTGCTGACAGGCAGGAGCCAAGGTTTGAACATCACTGTCAGCAGCCGAGAGGAAAGGTCTGAAAGGAAGATTGCCAGAGCTGGATGAACAAAGTCATAGTTGGCTGCTTGAAGAACAGGTTGCCAAGGGACGTTGTACTTAGGTTTCCATGCTACAGAGATGAATAAAGATGAATTTGGATTTGGGCCTTCAGGGTGTTACTGCTTCATGCAACAGAACCGCCTCTCTATCGCCCCGGATTTACACTGCATGCGTCTCCGCTCTGCTGCGCACTTCACTGGAAGATGTTCCTGATTTAGAACACAGACACCGGTGTGTCCCTAACTGTCAGGTTGACAGTTTCCATGAGTTTATTGAAAAGTCATCCTCAGGTCAGACCCTGATGAGCATTTCGGCCATTAGCAAAGAGGGCTAATGTCGTTTTTTTGTTTGTTTTGGTTTTTTTGTCTTGCTTAAAATGCTGTTCTGTCTACAACAATATGTATCATACAAGTGAGCATTCCTCTGAGAAACTATAAAGTTGGCACAAATGATGAAACCACAAGCATTGGAGTGAAGGTGGAAATGTTGAAGTGGAGGCAAAAACGCAACATGGGTCTGAAAAAGGGCATCTTGAGATCCACAAACCTCACAACTCCATAAATCCTCAACAGCATGGATTTATGTCTCTTTTCAAGGGTGTGCGGGAATCTGTGCGATACAAGATGTAAAACATTACAGTACGATCACATCGAATGTGAAATGCATTATACAGAAACTAATGTGAATCTGGCTCCCTAAGCGGACGGGACAGATGGAAATGTTGGTGTTTCTCTTTACAGGGTTTTTCATGAAAGTAGTTAATTAAATCGGGCATGTCAAGGCGCACATCTTTGTTCCTTACATGATGTTCCGGTGATTAATAAGTGTGGTATGTTTTGCATGTTAGACCCACATGCAAACCCAGCTGCAGTGTGACGCTAACGCATTGCTTCTCTCTGCCTTTCTCTCTTGTTTTTCCTTGCGACAATCAAGCAGCAGTCCAGAGAAAACCAGGTGAGTCTCAAGAGGAATTAGTCAGAACCTTCAGTTAAAAAATAGTAACAGTTCATGTTGTGCTCTGTTAATTATTTATGTGCTTACCTGTAAAGGCGAGCAAAAAAAAAAATCCCAGAAAAACAGCAAGCGAAATGCCAAAGTATGTAGTGAACGATTTCTACAGCTACCTCATTTAAGTGCTGCCACAGTTAGTCATTTCTGCGCTTTGACTAAAGAGAAAAAAAGCTTTCAGAAGCACTTTTTTGCAAAGCTTTGATATTTGTGTGATAGTCATGGTTTGCCGTCTTGCAAAGCATGTTTAGTGGCAATACAAGTGTCGTATTGGTGTGCTGACTTTTCTCTCTCTGTACCCCGTCTGTCTGGTTTTTCCCTCTTCAAGAACTCGCGCACCTGAAGGCAGACCAAGGTACTCTCTTCTTTTTTTTTTTTTTTTTTTTTTAGTCAGGATCTCCATTGTTTTTCCATCACTCCCCTACTGGCTTAGTTTTGGGGGGGACGTGGGAGGGATTCACTCTGTGTGCCTCCTAGCTGTCCGTGCACATTTGTGTGCTGGACGTCACCCACCGCAACCGCAGAGAAGTGGTGGGGGACATTTTGGTGTGTTTGCGTGTGTGTGCGTGTTAGTGTGTGTTGCTAAGGAGGAGCTGCATGACTCCATGGCATGTCCTACGTCTCACCTCCATCTGTATCTCTCGTTCTTTGTACTACATAGCTGTGTAATTGTCTCAGTTCCGCAGCAAATGTGCACTGACGCTGTTCAGAGTTTTTGGGGAGGAAGAAAGAAAATGACTGTAATTTGAGGGGACGGTTTACACTCGGCCAAAAACTCACATTGAAATTACAGAACAGGATGTGTCATTGGCAAGTACAAAGAGAACCGAGTGTCGCTATTTACAGGGTTTTTATATTCTGTTTGACTAAGCTGCTGTTTAATATGTAAACTTAAAGAACCTGCAGTGTTACTGGAGTCGCCGAAGAATGACTGTTTCAGCTAGAGCAGTGCTTGTCAAACATCATAATCACCACTTCTGTAAATAGTACAGAGTACTTTAAATAACACAGTCGGGGGATTTCAAAACAGAGGTTCAACAGGACTTGGAGTTTTGAAGTTTGTCGTTTTATAAAGATAGAAAATAAAACGGCTTCTATTGACAACAAATGTTTAGTTGAATCATTACTCCAAAGTTGAAAGTTTTGGACATAAATTTCACGAGAAGGTCAACAGACATCAAAACTCCCAAGTGGGGGAAACTGAAGGCATTTCACAATTACAACCTCAAAATCCAATTTGGCTTGCATGACTTTGAAAACCGGTTTTATGGCATTGCATCCAATTAAATCTATTACGCCACCACGTTGCATTTTTAGCTTTTTTGGGGTCATTTTTTAAAACAGATTCTCAATTTCCTTGTGCAGAAATAACATCCCCAGTGGTTTGAAGGATGAACATTGGTTATCTTTTTCAAGACTTACCTGAAAACTCACTGTTCCTATTCCTTTTGAGCTCTGATCCTCATTTGGGTTGCATGACTCAGAAAAAATGAAGGATTATGATCATTACCTCCGGTCTAACACTAAGTTACCTCTCAGTGTTAGAAGTGCTTTATTGAGGACACATGAACACATTTTATCAAGGTATATAATGGATGGAATATTACTGTGGTAATCTCTTACTGGCCCAGACCCAGTTGGCACAAGGTGGCAACTAGGCTTTATGCAATCTAAACATCTAAACATATAGAGGAAAGAAATGGTAAAACTCTGACATGTTTTTGTGTGCATGTTTTTTCCTCTTCTTTGCCATTTGCATGATTGTCATCAACCCTTTTGCACGCAAGCATCATTTGGCTGTGTACCGGATTAAGACGAAAGCTAAACCCTGCTTTTTATTGTCTCTCTCTCTCTTGTGCTTTTCCTGGGATCTCTCTTCCTACTTTAATCTCCATGGATTCTTTCTCCAAAATCTGTAGGTAGAAACAAAGGTACAGCAACATTGTTTTTTTTTTTTCTTCTTCTTACAGCTCTTTTATGTGAGATATGAGAACAGTGTGTGTTTGCGTGTGTTACTCCATCTCTCTGTTAAATTTGTGCTAGCCCCTCGTTAATCATTCATGATGTCTGTTCATTAAATGAAGTCAGATGCTCCTGTGTGGATTATTTTTCATTTTTTGGAGGAAAAAGTAAAATCAAGGGAGCTGATGTGCACCGAGTGACTGAAGGCAGTCGCTTGCAGATGGAAGAAATACAGAGTTGGTGCTCGAGACTAAATGATTTTCCCTCATAAATACCAAATTGCAATGTACAATGATGAGAGCGAGCCCTGGACTGGAATGTTTAATGGATTCCAAACACTAGATATTAATAATGGAGCGTGTGCATGCAGATTTAACGTCCATTCATACGTTATGTGTGCGTTGGAGAAAAGATGACTTCCGAATTTGATCTGACAGTCGTTTAAATTGGGCCATTGTGGCAGTCGTTGTGGTTTGCAGCTGCGCGTACGATTCCCCCATTATTCTTTTATTGCCACCATGCTGTTTGTGTCCTGTTGCCGCGTTGTGTGCGTGCCTGTGTAGGACCTGAGTCTGCATGCGCGCCAACCATAGCTTGTTCGTTTTAAAGAAAGTTCTGTTCCTCTGACGAGCAGGTGTAGTGGGTGGACAGATGCTTATTTTTAAACCTGATGTTTTCCGCCGCTGCACCTGTTCACGCTTCCAGCATACCTACATAAAATCATTATGTAGGTGTGCCTGATTTTAAGATGAATCACACATGTTTGCATAGTTTGCTTTGCAGCGGTTTGATTCCATTTTTATCAAAGACGGAAATGTCTTTCTGTTTGTCGTGTAATTTAAGCTGCTACAGTTGGTATGACATGTTGATTAGTGCAAGTTCCTGTTGTTTGGTCCAGAAAGAGTGTTTTTCCTATTGTTCTGAATATTGCAATTTCTTTGAAGAAAAAAAAAAGAGCCTTTCATATATGATTTACAAAATGTCAGTCAATATTAACCCGAGGAGGTCAAAATTAAGCGTTTCTTTCAGTTTAGGCTCCGTTTGACCAAAACTGGTCAGCATACATTCATTAAACTTTTCTGTTTGTATCATCAAAAACAATTTCACAAAATCAACATTAAAAATTTCGGACTGCAGACCCATTTCTAATGAGACGCGGTAGCCCAGCAGCATTCCAGATCATATGAAATAGAAAGACCACTTTAAAAAGCGAGGCTGTTCACAAGGAAACTGTAAAAACTAAAGCTGGTTTTGTTTAAAACCAAGTAAAAGTTTGCAACAAGCTGAATCATAACCAAAATCTCTAATTGAACTCTAAATAGGTGGAAAAAAAACTTTTTGTTTGCAGCTGATAACAAAGGGTTAGCTAACCCTAACCCTAGCAGTTAGCTAGCTGGAAAAGCTAACTCTTCCAGCTATCACAAACTGCTTCCAGCTAGCTTGCATTATTCTCACCAATTTTCTTTGTTTTTTTCTACTTTTTTGTCCTCATTATCTTAAAGTTACCAACGATTTACCCTACACACCACCAGTCAAGTTACCAGAAATTGCGCTCTGCCCTTGATCGACTCTAGCTAATGATCTGCAGGTAAAATACTGAAGAACGTTTTGTTTTTTATTCTTTATTAACACTCACCATTCTTTTAAGCTAAACAAAAAGATGATGATTCACCTTTATACATAAATCATAATGTTTTTGTAAATTCAATTCAATTATCATATGAAATACAAAGTTGCACTTTCTTACAATAGCTCCTTGTTACATTACACACAGTCAAAGTCAGAAAAAAGCAACACGCTCTTTGCAGATTTTCACTGAATCTCCCTGAGCTAACTGTATTGCCTTCACATCAGGTTTAAATAATAAAAGAAACTGGGTTAGAACCAAAATAGACGCCCCTACACTCATCTCACATCAGCATATTAGGTAGCAACATGCTGATCGTTTGTAGTGAAGAGTCGTACAGTGGTTCAGTCATTAGTTTTATTACATAACATGACAACAAGGTCCCAGCGTTATTACGTGATTTCCCTTCTTTCACAGTGCGGGTCCGTGGGGGTTTCCTCCATGTGCTCCAGTTTCCTGCAGCTGTCCAAGGACATGCAAATTCAATCCAACAGCAATGGGACGCTAAGTGAATCCTAGGTGTAGATGTTAATGATTCCCCTTCATCTGTATTGAACCTTCGATAATCCTTGAATAGAATGCAGAGAACAAAATATGACTGATCCATAAAATGGGAATTTGAATTAATTACAGGACCTTTGATTGGGACTAAAATGAGACGTTTAAAAAAAAGTGGGGTGAGGAGGTGCTGTGGGTATGCTTTACTCTCTGTCCAATTAGATTAATGTCTCCATTGTGTTTAAGTATTATAAATGGCCCAGCAGTCAGAGAGAACAATTACTGAGAGAATTGGGGAGAAGAATTAAAAGTGAAATACAGACAGAGATTGAGACAGAAGGTCAAAAGAAGCAAGGAAAAAAAAACTCGACGAAAAGACGATGCAAGAACTTCACCTGCTTCTTTGAGGACACATATTTCTGACAGAATATATGGGGCACCTTGTCGTCCCTGCTCTAAAATCTGGGCCCCGTACTCCAAGCTGGCCGTCAGCCATCTTAGGAGAAACTTTTGGTCCGTGACAATGAAAGAGGACCCCATTGTTTTTGGCCCTGAGATGCATAGTTTAGCTATCCAGAAAACTTTTCGTAAGCCGTGGCAGCGAACCAGGGACTTTGCTCCAGTTACCAACATTGGTCCAGTTAGCATCACATTACGCTAAAGCCTGCTGTTGTCGCTTTCAGGGCTATTTTTGTATGTATTTCCTGATTGTGCAACTCTATTTGAGATGCATTCTCATGTACAAATTGACCATTTTCTACCAATAAACACTGGGGAGGTACATGAAACTGAAAATAGAATACACAAGTGAAATACATGTAGAGAGGGTGTAAGTACCAATTTGTAACCCCATTTACAAATGTGGTCATATCGTTGTGTGTTATCCAGATAATGAGGTCCCCTTGTAATGTAGCAATATATATAAAATTCCCTTCTCACCCACCGCAGGTGGTTCTTATCCTCTGAGCTCGGGTCCTCTACCAGAGGCCTGGGAGCTTGAGGGTTTTGCGCAGTATCTTGGCTGTGCCAAGGACTGCACATTTCTGGACTGAGATGTCTGATGTTGTTCCTGGGATCTGTTGTAGCCATTGATCCAGTTTGGGGGTTACTGCCCCGAGGGCCCCGATGACCACAGGCACCACTGTGGTCTTCACCTTCCAGGCCCTCTCCAGTTCTTCCCTGAGGCCCTGGTATTTCTCCAGTTTCTCGCGCTCCTTTTTCCTGATGTTGCAATCACTTGGTATTGCTACATCTACCACAACGGCTTT